GACTGGTACTAGTTACAAGTGTTGTGATAAAAAGTTATGAAGATGTAACTTGCTGTATTACAGTTGTTTATAATTTGGATTGAGATTCCCAGGAAAATGCGCACCTGGAAGCAACAAATTGTGTTTTCCACGTTCTGAAGGAAAGAAGACGACGTGCACACCAACATTTCTGCTCATGTGTTTCTCATCAGTCTTTTAATATGTTTTTAAGTGTTCTAGATCATTATTTTGTAAGGATATCATCATAGTTTAACTAATTATTTAATGATTATATATATTGAAAAAAAAAAACATCACTTGACTCTATCTAATAAGATACGTATATATATATGATAGAGACATGTATCTTTGATTTTCAACCCCAACACCTCAAGAAAATACAAGATTAGCAACGACACAGTCCGCGGGTAACACAAGTATATCCAAACGACGTACTGAATACAAGAAATTTGATGATTTGTGAGTCTATACATAATACATACCTTATAAGAAATCCACATCATGAGTGAGATGAGTAATTTTCTTGAGGTATCATCGTAGTCGACGTATAACTCTAGATCCTCTCTCATTTTAAACGTTATGATGCGTTTGTTAATATACTAAAAAAGACAGGAAGAATGAGGATAAGTCAAACTTGAGAATTGATAATAGGCTTCCATGTTCCAATATTTGCTAGACAATCCGAAACAATAGAAGAGAATAACATGATGATTGCAATACATACATTGGGGTTTATCTATATGGATTATAAATCTTTTCTGGAGATTTTTTTTTTTTTTAAATAATAATAGTGGCCTGCGAGAATCACCAAAATTTCTCACTTTGTCATCTCCATCTTTTCTTTGATTCCTCCATGTTTCTTCGCAACTTCACCCTTGTGGTGCTTCCCTTACTGTCGTGTGTAGTTTATCCTCTCGATGTGGCTACCCTCGTTGCGGCTCCGTTATGCTCCTCTATTTCTTGCCAGAATTCATAAAAAACGCCCTCCATCACCGATCGAAGCTTCAGTTCTGGTCCCAGATATCTTCCCCGTTGGCTGGGCCAAGCTTCTCCCGACCAGATTCCCCGTTAGCTTCTCGCTCTACACTCCTCACATAAGATTCATCCTTTTGTTCCTTTGGGTGTGTCCCTGCCTTTCTCCTGTATGGAGAGAACTATTGCTCTTTCTTCTTCTTTGGATTTGAAGACTTGCACTTTGACGTTATCCTCTTCCATGGCGAGTTTGCTTCTCAAAATTTACTCCTTTATGGAGATACTGTTGCAGCTTATTTCCCTCGGTGGTTATCTTTGTTGCTCCAACTCTTTACTCATGGCTCCTCGCTCCAACAACCTGGTCATTCGAGTTGGGTATAAGCCTTTCTCCTCATTAGTTAAGGAATGCCTTCTGGTAAAGAGCGATGGTTTCATAATGAAAAGTATTTGGTTGCTTTATCATGTTAGATTGAGCTTTGTAAATTTTGATCTTTGGACCTTGCATTCACTCCCTTTGTTGTTGTTGTGCTCTTTAGTCACATAAAATGTGCTTCACTCTTACCTTGTATTGAGGTTGTTACTAGCTTTTGTCTAGTCATTGTTGTTGTTAGCGGTTCAGTCTGTTTGTTAGCATTAACAGCTCTTATTACTCTCTCATGGAGTTCTCTGGTCTCCCAATTTGCCTTCTTGTATTTAATGGCATTGTTATATGGTGTACATTTCAGGTTGCAATCACTAGCTTGTCAAAGCGTTGGTCTTATTTTTCGACAACTCGAGACTTTACAGTGTCAGTTTTGACTTGAAAGTTTTGGCTTTGAACATGGCTATATTGAAAGCTAATCGTTTAAAAATCAGAAAATTACGTCTTCTTTGATTGTAAGGTTTAGTGAATGAATGAAACTTGTGAC